AGAATAAGAGTAAAATAGGGAGAAAAATGCTTTCTGTTCTCTTGTGTCCTTGTCATCGCCATCTACACTTAAAAGAAATAAATGCAACTACAAGAGCCAAGTGATATCTAACACATCTCACTGAAATTAGAGATTCTTCTTTCTAAAATAACTCTACTTCATGCCTGCTGACCACATTCTCAGGCAATGGTTCTAATGGTCCTAAACTCTAGTGTACATAAAAACAAAGGAGTTGGAAGCCTGTTAAAAAATCACCAAAAGTGATTGAGCCAGTCTGACATGGGTCCTAAGACTTCTCTTCTTTTAGAAGGCAACCCAGGTAATTCTGGTAGTTATGGGCAGCAGACAACACTTTAAAAAAGGTACTTTGGGATTAATATCTTAGCTATTACTTGCATATGAAATTATCAGTGAAAAATCAGTATCATAAAGGTAGGTAGAAAGAGCTAGAAACAGAGACATAGAAAGAAAACCACAGAATACCAGGTTGTAAGGAATTTCTCTTTCCAATAAAATAAATCTCCGTCATCTCTGACAGATGGTCATCCTAAATACCTTCAGTGATGGGGAATTGCTGTCTTCAGGCAACACGTGCTATTTTGGGTTTTAAATTCATGTTTTAAAAAAAAGATAAATCGTGAGTTATTTAGAAAATTGAAGAAACGGGGATATTATTCAGGGTGAATTATACATGAAAGCCTTTCTAGACTTGATTGAGCAACAAGATAAGGCACCAGCTAAATTCAAAACTAATCTGACTACAAGAAGATTTGAACACCCAAATGCTGGATCTGCTACCTGATTCCACTAAAAAAAGCCATACATTCTGTGTCTGCTGTAAAAATAAACTTTTTCTCTATGTCTCTCATTCACATTTCAATGGTGCAACATTTCAATCACGCATCTGGTACCACTTTCATTTCCCTATTTAGGTAGTGGCAAGTAAACAGCAATAAAAATATATATAATCCAAAAATTTTGCAATGCTCGTGAATATTTTAAAATAACGGCCCAGAACAAAACATTTTAAATGAATATAAAATATACGACAAAGCCATTTTACCTTACTACTCTATTGAAAACAATAGTATTTATATTTGAATCTTTATATAGGTGTTCCACCAAATGAGTGAATTGTTATTAAGCCATTCAGTTTTTTTACTTGTTTAGAAGAACTCACCAGGCCTAGTGGTTTCAGATGGCTCTGTCATGAGTGATTGATCCTTGGGCATTTCCACTTTCATTTATGTAAATTATCAAAGGCTCCTATAGCTTCTTCTAGTACAAATCCACTGCCTTGTCAATGATGCAAAATTGGAAAGTGTGGGGTACTGCACTCTAATATGGTGTTGAATTATTTTAACCTAATCTGCCAAAATATTGTCTGGAATAAGAAATTTTTAACCAGTTGTCCAGGGTTTAGAATAGGCTAAAAACTCTCTGACAGTGATAACATTTCATATAGGTCTCAGTGCTTCCTTTTAGTCCAGGATTCCAACTGAGAATTAGAGTAGTTCCTATTTCCTCTTTTCCACTGAACAACCACTAGAACGTCCACCCCAAATCTGTACGTTGGGCAATATTCATTTGTGTGAAAATATTCGTGTGAAATCACTGGGCCTGAGGTATACTATTTGCTGAAGTATCAGATGAAAAAGATTTCTCTGAATACTTTAGCAACAATATCTGGTTTATTTTCCTTGAACACTAAAGGGCATCCAATAATAAATCTCTCTCGCTCTCTCTCTCTCTCTCTCCAAAAGTATCTTTGTGTTCAAGCCTGAGAAAGAGAAAAGCAGCCACCAGCATCCAGGAGCTAACCTGGCACTATCCAATTAGCCTTTGTGTTCTTCTGCTGAACATAAACAATTTCACAAAGCATCATCTTCAGGCCAGGCCACCCTGTGACTGGGATGGAGCAGGTCAGAAATGACACAACTCCCTTATCATGCCTGAACACAGACAAAACACGAACATTGTCCAAGCCACAAAATACCACACATGCCCCTCTCTTGCTAAATGAGAGATTGCTGGGTGTTTTTTCTTTTTCTTTTGTTTTTAACCAACTACAGCCAAAACCCAAATCCTATGAGTTCTTTCTAACTTGGTTCCTCAAGATGTGCATCCTCCCTTGCCTACACATTCAACCACCGGTGTGTTCCTGGTGGTCTCTGGGTGGCGGGCATTGACAAACCCAATTACTGAAACCAGAATAGAATTCTAATAGAAAATAAATTCCTTGAGCTTATTTTCTCACATTGTGGGTTTCGTGGCAAAAGACCCTTTAGTTCTCTCCCTCAGTATTACTTTTGTGAGATGTAGAATAAACAAGTGGATTATGGCTCATCTGTTAAATATTTACTACAGGAAGAGGCATGTTTTCAAGGAATATGATTCATCATGTTAGATCAACACCCAGGCCACAGTGAGCCTGGTGGTCCACGGTCCTGGGTGCTTATACAGAATCCTACGATGGATTCAATGTGAACCACTAGTAGAAAACACAATTAAAGTGATATGGCACTGACTTTGCTCAAATTCTTGCTTTTCTCAGATTTTATCCTTATTAGGGATGCTTATCTCATGATTATTATTTCCTCATCAAAGCACATTTAATGGTCTAGTTTATAAATACATAAATTTAAGTTGCCTGCTGTGAAAAAAAAGATGTGAAGTAGTAATCTAAAAACCTGAGGTATGTTTATGCAAATCTCAATAATTTGTATGAGATAAAAAGTTTCCAATTATAGTATATAACTTCTGACCTTTTGAAAAATGACTACTAGCCTTGCAAAGGACCAATATTATCATCTGCCTCTCTTAAAAATATAAACAGACTTCCCTTCTATAGGGCTTATTCCAATAAGTAATTTCCATTCAAGGGAACAGTAACAACACCTTAAAAGTCATTGCCATGAACTGTATATTAAATACTGCTCAAGGAATTTGATGTACATTATTTCTAATCCTCACAAAACACCAAAAGATATATAGATTTATTCACATTTTATAGATGAGGACCTACATCAGAGAAATTAAATGATATGCTCCAAACACACTATATTAAAGGATAGAGCTAAGATTCAAACCCACTCATGTCTGACTTGATGAACTGAAGGATGTTTACTTGTGTGTGCATATGTGTGTGTATGCCTTCCTATTAGGTGAAATTACTTTTAATCCTCAATATCCTCCGTGTTTTAATAGCTCATTTAATGTATGCCTCTGAGTGTGTGTAAAAATACATACACATATTCAAAACTTGCTATTAATTGCTGTCATTTCAACTGCAAGTTTTAAAAGAATTTATCCCTAAATAAATATATTTGAGAAAATATACTGAATAAATATTATAGTTATCACCTATAATGATTTCTTCTGCTCTACCCTCTCAAACACTTTAAGATGGCTTTGCATGTGAATTTAGTATCAACACTCAGATCTTAATCTCCATGATATAGATTCTTCACCCCTTTAGTAGTTCTGAGTATAATGTTTCTAATGCAGCACAGGGACTTCAGAGAGAAATTGAAGAGGAATGTGAAATGACATTGTGAATTCAAGCAAAAACTCCTTCTTTCTTTTTCCCTATCTCTTGCTCTCTTTTTCTTTTGTATTTGTTTTTTCCCCTTTTTAAAATGTTGATCAATTAGCTAACGTTCTACAAAAATGTCATCGAGGGCTGGAAGATCTGGAATCATCAGGTACAAAAGAACATTCTACCAATGCTCCTGCCTGCCCCGAATTATCCTTTGCCTTTATCAGACTGCATCACTATCTTTATGCTATTATTTTAAAAAATTTCATATGGGGGCATGCTCATTTTTATCAAATTACAAGGCACCATAGAAATACACTAATCCCTTGTTGGCTAATACAATGATCTTTTAAATATCAGAGGTGTCAAATTACTTCCAGTTTTTTAGATCATGAGACATGTAGTACCAGAGATCTTTAATTTCAAAGTGCAATGCAATTTCAAAATTGTCAAAATGAAAAATATTCATTTGCCTGTGATATTTTTTTTAACTGGCTCATTCAAGCCGCAAACCCTCTAACATTGGAATGCATTTACATGAGAATCATCTTCTATTCCGCCCATCTTATTGCCTCAAGAAATAAATGGATTTTAGGGGAATTTATTTAAAAGACATCTCTGTCCGAGGTGGGGCTCACATTGCTCGGTGAGGCTGCAACAGTTTACCAGAAGGAGTCAGGCCATAAAGAAAGAAGTGCTGGCATAGGGTGGGGCTGAATAGTTTGCATCTTTTCCCACTGTTTCTCACTGGTATCGTTTCCATGAAAATCAAGGGTGGGGGAATGTGTGCCAGGCTAAGAAATCCTACAGACTGCTTTGTGTGCCCAACAGCCCCAGCCCATAATATCTTTATCTTAGCCGTTTATCTTAATCAATGAAAGAGCTATCACACTATCATGTCTGGGAAAACTGTAGAGGAGCTAAGCAAACCAAAGAAATATCATGCTGAGGATCATATTTCTCCTGTCACAACAGTCTTTTCTCCTTAGGAAGAATACACTTAGCACGGAACCAAAAGGCGTTTGCCGTCTGGCCATCTCAAGATCATCACTGAGCAAACATCTGGTCAAAAATCTCCCTTTTGCTTCACAATCCACCTTGCTTAACATTTCCTTTTAAACTCACTCATTCTAAAAATAAAATGACTCTCTCTCTATATATATACCCAGTTAACACCAGAAGCATCCATCAGTGGCCACAATCCTCAATAACACACATGCAGAACACACCTTATCTCTGTTCACTTCACCATGCTCCAGTCAACGTATCCATCAGGAACCCTGGTTCCTTTCCTATTCTCAGAAAGCAGTCTGCACCTGCCTCTTTAAAAGGCAATGTTTGGCTCTGCCATAGTCTATAGTTACTCATAATGCTCCACGGTTTCTGTAATCTCACTGATATTACACACTAACACATACACACACATATCTCTATACAGACATTCCTAATTCCGGCGATTTACCTTTTTGGGTTTTTTCCTTCTCTGACTACTGCCGTTGAACTTCTCTCCACTGTCGCTTTTCTGAGCTGCATCTTCGTTCATCATTTTGAACAGTTTGGAGAGAAAACAGCTCTGCCATTAAACCCTGCTGCTTGCACAGACCACTAGCGAGTATGCACTTACTGGAGGAAAGCAGGAGGAGGAGGAGGGGTGGGGAAGGGGCGCGCGCTGGGAGGGTAAGGACGGTGACGTTGCCATGGCAGCAGCTGCCACAACTGTTTATCGGACTGCATTGTTAAATCTGATTCAACCAATTACCATCAGGGACCGGTTACAATGGAGAAAGCCTTGAAAAAAGAATGCCAGGGACTCGAATGATTTGGGGACTTTGCTGGTTGGTTCTTGACACACCTTCGATTCGATCAGCTCTCAACCCACACACAAAACCTGCACTTAATTTTCTTCCTACAGGTACTTCAACACGGAACAGACATAATGCATGATGAGAAAACTATAACAATCTTGAATGTGTCTCTGAACCTGAAGAGATGTATTTCAGCCAGTGAAGAGGCTACTTAAGGAAAAGGATTAGCTGTTACTATCCTAAAGTGCATGTAAGAAAGTTACAGTTTTATGATGTTATTCACTTGATTCCAAATGATAATCTTTCAAAACTCAGCTCAAGGATGACTTTTGTCACGAAGCTTTGAGAACACGTTCCCCATCAACCAGGTAACACAGATCACTCCCTCCTCTGGGCCTCCTCCTTCCACTGTACACTTCTGACAGAGCACCTGCAACACATCTCACAACTGCATGTTCCCATCAGGAGCTACTTAAGGCCTGGGATAGTGAGTGTGTATGAGTGTGTGTGTGTGTGTGTGTGTGCGTGCACGCGCGCATGCGCTTGGTTGGAAAGAGATCATTAAACTTCCCAGAATTAAGCATGATGGATTATATATTAAAGGCTTAATCAAGGTTTGTCAAACACATATGTAATACGCAGGGTAACACAAATACAAGAAATTCATGCAGTTAAAACATTTTATAATTAATCTTAACCTAATTCTTCTTATTGACTGATAAATAAAACTCAATCCCTGCTTTCAAGGAGCTTATAGATAAAGTTCCAGAATTAGTCTTGATAAGAAAAGAAAACAGGGCTGGTTTTTATCACAGGAAAACCAATTTTGTCTTTCGGATCGAGGTGGCCATATTTGTATATTTGTGGATGCAACCAGAGCCCAACATATTTTGTGCAAATACACGTGCACACACTAAACACTCATCCCTATTCCTAGAAAACAAACTCAAAGTATAATACACAGAATACTTAAATGTAAAAGGACCAACCCAATGAGATAATGCATACAAATACACTTTGAAAACTGAAGATGCCTATGTAAATGTGTTATTGCTATTGTTGATCCTACCATTATTATTACAAATATACATAATTTTCAACTTAGAAAACAATATTAGAAAAATGTTTCTTACATGGAAATGACTACCAAAATTGGGAACTCATCTTTCCAATAAACACGAGAAGACAAATTCACCTTCTCTCCCCACTGTTATTGGGACTGCTCTTCCCCTCTGCCTTATCACCCCAAAGACCTTTGCCACACCCTCATCTAGAGTCACCTGAGTCCTTCTGCCCCTTACTCTCTCTACCCTCCTTCTGTTTGAACAGACACACCCCACCAGTGATGCCTTGGGTCCCACAGCCAGGAAAGGGGCAATGGGCCTCTTTTTTCTGAAACAAAACCTTACAGGAACTTCTACAGAAGCCTCTGGAAGCCCAATTCCCACTGTTGTCAGAGCCCCCACAGAAATACCCCACGATATCCCCCCAATCCTCTGCTATCCCCTCAGCCACCCCACTTACTCCCTCACCCATCCCCATTGTGCATCCCTTACTTGACCTTGCTTAGGAGCGCCCTCAGCCTGGAAATCGGGTTCATTTACTCAGTAAACATCTGTCCAATGTTTACCATGTACCAGGAACTAAGCACTAGGGATAGACCGTCCTAACCACTGGGGATATAATGGTCAACAAAACTGGCAACATATCTGCAATCGTGGTAAATGTAAATTGCATTTACATTTGCAGTATAAATTGCAAAGAAGTGTACTTCACATTTCAATACTTTATGAATCAGTAACTTCTAATAATGTTCAGACAAGCCTCTCATAACAGTGTCTTCTCTGTCAGTACCCAAATATATAGCACATGGCTTTAAACAGATTCAGGTCTCCAATTTTAACAACGAGCTCTAACCTTCTAGATGCTTGGTGTTGTTCTGAAATATCATTTAAGCTTTTATACAAAATATTTCCATTACAGAGTGAAAGTACTGCACAAACACTGCACCATATAGCATACCATAGATGTCAATATCTATATTCAAAGTATAAAATGAAATCTCAGTAAGTAGATAAATAAAACAGGTGCTGGTAGTGCTATGTCCATTTCAGCAATAGAAAGTAAATATTCTACATTTAAAGAATGTCAGTAAGATGTTATGGTGTTGTAGGTGTTTCGGTTCTGCTTTTGAGACTTTCGATCAATTTTTTGGTGCCTCACTGTTGTATACTATTAACTTTGTATCCTCATAGTGCAGTTTTTAGTGGGCATGTGTTTGACTGGATTCTAAACTCCTTGAGAGCAGGATTTTTGTAAAGATTTATTGATTTATGATTTTTTGATTTATGATTATATGATCTAATTATGATTACAAATTTAAGATTATTTGTAATATTTATTTAAGATTTATTTATTTATTGAGAGGGAGAAAGAGAGAGAGAAGAAGAGTGCGAGCGGAGGGAGGGGCCGAGGGAGAGGAAGAGAGAGAATCTTCCGCAGACTCCCAGCTGAGCACAGAGCCTGACGTGGGGCTCGATATCATGACTCTGCGATCATGACCTGAGCTGAAACCAAGAGTCAGTCCTTCACCAGGCAGAACCACCCATGCACCCCTCCTTGAGGGCAGGATTAATGCCTATTTTCACATTCCACATGGAGCCTAATTCACTGCACAACCCATATAATAGGGGTCCAAGGATTACTTTTAAATGCAATAAAGAAACGTTTTCAATATTTACCATCCAGTTTATATTTCTGGTTAAACATCCAATGGGTAAATTCTTCATTTCTTAGATTTTCTTTTTATGTACTGCCTGATATCTAGGAGCTAATGCATAATAAGATTTTTAAAGATATTTGAGAAATTGGAGTTGCTGCTGCTAACATAGCAATGATGATAATACCTTACATTGGTAAAGCATTTTATAATTTATATAATTTTTAGTTTCTAGGATAGAAGCCCCATGAAGGGGCGCCTGGGTGGCTCAGATGGTTAAGCGTCTGCCTTCAGCTCAGGTCATGATCCCAGGGTCCTGGGATCGAGTCCCGCATCAGGCTCCCTGCTCCTTGGGAGTCTGCTTCTCCCTCTGCCTCTCTCTCTCTCTCTCCCCTTTGTCTCTCATGAATAAATAAATAAAATATTTAAAAAAAAAAAAAAAAAGAAGAAGAAGCCCCATGAAGACTGAGAACTTTGTTCTCACTGATACATCTCAAGCACTTACAGCAATACCGGCAAATGACACACACTCAAATATTAAGTGACTTCAATAGAATTCTCACCACCACACAGGGAAAGGATCAATACCAATCACAGTACAAGCGGAAACACTGAGGTAGGAAGTGGTTTTGGTGACTTGCCCAAGATAGCAAAATTAATAAAATACAGAGCTAAAGAAAAAAATACGGAGCTAAAGTTCTGATTCTAAGGCCACTGTTCTTTTATTAAATCATGGCTGACTTAACAAAGTGCACAGTTAATAAAGTGTGGTAAGATACGAGCAAAGACGAAGATGGAAAATGCCAAGAGCAGAAACCACAGTTAGATGACAGTGGCCTAAGTAGAAAAAGGAAATCTTTATTGATTTTAGGCTAAGCATATTTAATAGGCATGGAGTTTTAGACATGATTATATTAATTTTAATATGCCTACTCTATTTTATTGAACCATCAGAGTTAATAGTATTACAAAACGTGACACATACTACTTCAAAAAAACTTGTAACATTATTCGAGTGGGGTAAAGTCCCCTGAAGTATAAGCAATTATGTCTTAGAGGTAGGTTAACTTCCAAAAGTTCCTTTGTCAATCAGAGTTGTTTCGTGTTAAAAATACATTTTTTTACAGAAACAATGTTATAAAAAAGGCTTAGTTCTCTAAGACCATCAAAAAAAACCTTCAAGGGACGCCTGGGTGGCTCAGTCAGTTAAGCATCTGCCTTCGGCTCAGGTCATGATCCCAGGGTCCTGGGATGGAGTCCTGCATTGGGCTCCCTGCTCAGTTGGGAGCCTGCCTCTCCCTCTCCCACTCCCCCTGCTTGTGTTCCCTCTCTCGCTGTGTCTCTCTCTGTCAAATAAACAAATAAAATCTTTTTTTAAAAAAGCCTTCAAAAGGCTTTCCTATTCACTGTTACTTGTGGTAGAGAATCTTAACTAGGCAGAGAGAGGTCGGATAGTAGTCCATCGATTTCTCTTTTTCCTTTAGGCCACTGTCACAGTTGGACTGCCCCCTGCAATCCCCTGACCCCCACCAAAAAAATGTTTAAGTCCTAACCCTCAGTACCTGTGCATGTGACCTTATATGGGATTAGGGTCTCTGTAGATGTAATCATGTTAAGATGAGGTCATAATGGATTAGATGGGCCTTAATCCAAGGACTGGTGTCCTTATAAAAAGAGAGAACTTTGGACACAGAGACACATAGGGAAAACAGCCACGTGAAGACTCAGGCAGAAATTGGAGAAGTACAGCTGCGAGCCAGTGATGACACATTGCCAGCAACCCACCAGAAAGAAGCTGAGGAAAGATTCTTCTCTAAAGCCTTCAGAAGCAGTCTGGCCCTGATGACACCTTGATTTCAGACTTTCACCCTCCACAACTATGAGAGAATAAAGTTTTATTATTTTAAGCCACCCAGTACTTTGTTTTGACAACCCGAGGAAACTAGTACAACCATATTTTCCAGCTACCTTTGCCACTGGGTGAGACTGTGTGACTTAGTTCTAGCCTGTAGAAAAGGTGGAAGTGTATGCCACTTTCAGGTCTAACTAATACAAACCTCCCAAGAGTGATC